AATACTCAATCTGACTTGAGTCCATATTTCCTGCCAGGACTTTCACTTGCCTGAAGCTTCTCCCTAGATGTTGAGATGAACTGAAACTAAGTTCATTCTGGTTCAACTTTAGAACAAAAAGTTTTGCACTGTCCTGGATCCTTTTTTAAAACCAACCAGAAAAACTTTCTCAGACTCGCAATAACAACTGTGTCAAAACACATTTACACTTACATGCAAAAAAAAAAAAAAAAAAAAAAAAAAAAAAGCAGATAAATAGCCTTAAACAAATGGTGGAAATATTTTTTTGTTCCTTTAGTGTAAACATCCCTGGGTCAGAACAGCAACCACTAATAAAAATAACTACCAGCACAATGCATTCTGTTGGACTTTCATCATCATGGTGGCCCACTTTTTGACACATTTAACCCTGCTCTAACTGACGAGCTACACATCCCTGAGTCTGTGCAGAACATCTGCAGAAACAGTCACTTTACTGTATGTATGGCGAGGGGGACAGCACTCAGCAGCGCCATGCATTGTTGGAAATTTGCATGCTTAAGTCCATATGGCAACTTCCTTTTGACCTGCTTTCCCATCCCCGATGGATTGTCAGGCCTGTCAGACGATAAAGAATCACTTGACTTGCTATAACAAGTTCAAAAGGGTCTGATGACGCGCCGTTGATCCATGGAGAATCGGTAAAGAAACACCCTGCCGCTCGCTGCTATCACTGCCATAGAGATAGCCGCATTATTTAGGGAATGGGTATGCTAATTTCTGGATGTGGGGAGCGAAAAGTTACATTTTCTTAGTTAGGAGGAAATAAATCTCATGCATTAAACAAAGACAGAAGTGTGAATCTTTAAATGTGATTATGTTTTCTGTTGGAAAGATAAAGAAAAAGACGGGACAAAAAGTGAGCAACAGGTACCTATTTTATATAAAAAAGAGCGAGAAAGCAAGAGTGAGCTATAATCAAATGTGTGTGTGTGTGTGTGTGTGTGTGGGGGGGGGGAGAGTCAGATTTTTTTTCCCTTTTTTTTTGGATGGAAAAATGTTCCGAACAGGCTGCAGTTAATTCCTGAATGCAATTAAAGTAATAATGGTTTTAACACGCTGCGAGTTGCGGATTATTCCCACGCACAGATGGAGCGCCGCGCGCTATCCTTCGGAGTGACCGTCCGCGTGCTCCTTCTCCGGACATCTCTGGAGCGGCGCGTGCGTGTCCCGTGTGCGTGTGACCCGGCGCTGACTTATGTGGTGGAGGTGAAGGAGGTGGTGGTGGAGGGGGGTTATAAACACGACCCCCGCGCTGCATCCCTTCTGCGGGCCCACGTCCGGTTTTGCGGCCATCCGATCCTCTGTCGGCGGCGTTAATGCGTCTGTGCGACATTTTGAATAATCAAGGCTGCGCGCGACCACTAGCTGTCAGCAGCACAGCCTGCCTGTCTGTCACTCTCCTCTGTGATGCACTTAACATTACAGAAAACAAGCTGTCCGTCCAGGAGAGTACTTGATATACTTTTTCCCTCTTTATTATTATTACCAAACCGTTCCCATAATTACCCCATAATCATTATATAATCCCCCAACAAAGCCTCTATTGAAGCCCTGTCTTTTGTCAACGCTGGGACACTGAATCTATAATTGCATTATTCAGCCTCTTCCAGCCCCCCTCCCCCTTCTTCCTAACCCCCCATATGGAACCATAATATATCAAAAACAGGGTGCAAGGGCAGCTTTTAGTCGCAGGAAACCCTCCTGCATCTGAGGGACGTCGTTCTGTCTTTCTGTCATGTGCTTTTATTCACAGCTTTAAAAAAAAA